TTGGAGCGTCCTGAATCCCTATTGGTTTGCAGAATGAGCACTTAAGGTAATTAAGCTCACTAATAAGATGCATAACTCTTTTAATTAAAGATAATGGGAAAAATTAGTAAGATTTGTAGACGTTAGTATAATTTGAGACTGACTAAAAGAGAATTTTATGCATGGTCTGCGCGACAGGCTCATACAACCTCATTTCAGCCGCCACGCAGGCTACTCTCTGTATTGATCTWCTTTATCCATTATTATTGCGGCCAGCTATTGACAATTTAATGAGGTCAACTTTAAAARAGTTTATACTGTTTGAAGCTCTTCCATTTTTACCGTCAGGTTTAACAGAGAAAACAGCAGAAAAACAACAATAGAAGAGGGGTTTTCATGGTAATCTCTAAGTTTACTGAAATATTACCGCGAGGTGAACTCAACTCAAATTAAAAGTTTTTCTAGGGTACCTTTCCAGTTGCCAAAACAACATGAAATGCAAGATGCAAAAGTTTGACATGATGATGATAACACACTGAAATTGGTCGGAAATACGAAACCGAGTCTAGTGATAAGCAAATGTATGTAAAAACTCTCTTTTTAATCCTAAATAGCTAGCTAATATTGCATATTTTAGCTCAGTGCAATGACACTAGCTGTTTGTTTGTTGTTTTTTTATTGTGGCACTTTCAATGGCAATATTTATGTTCTCTGTTGTGTCGTACATTTAACTTTTTCATTACGAGGTGCTTGGGGTTGTACTTTCTTCATCGAGAACGCAGTTCTCCGAATCTCAGGTAAACCCATGGCCGTAATAATTGGCCCTAAAATTCTATAACACTTATCTGATCTTAATCCATCAACACTATTTTATCATTCATAACTGTTTTGTCCCATTTAAGGCAAGTTGAGTGTAATATATAGTGCATTTGTTACATCCTCGACAAAATAGCATTAATTGGAACATAGCATTAATTGGTCTTTTTAGCCATTCCCATGAGATTCAAAAGATGAAAGAACGGCGGCCATGTTGGAGGAATGAACTATAGATACTAATGAGAAATCCTTTGTTGAAGCTCCTCCAAGATGGCCGGTGTGACGTTTAGTGAATACGAAGAATTGAGCAATAATTTCTTGTAGGGTTTTTACTATAGAAATAAACTACCCATGTGTTCACAATTYTATTTTTSKATCAGTTTTTATCAGTTGTTTTTAATGARAAATCTATACTTCGGCTCAGTGGATGTCGTCACACAGTTCTCCTCCTTTCGTTAAAGTACAAAGTTGAAAGGGAGGACCAGCATTAGGTCCAACATCTGGGTCACCATTAGGGTCAATGGGTGTCTGAACAAGTTCCTTTAGATGGAGTGTCAAAGAGAACATCAGACCAAGAGCATCTTTCAAACGATCTGGATGACCATTGAAAACRTTCTGCAGTGACCTGAGCATCTTAGTGTAAACTTTGTTGAACTTTTCAGCTTTCAAGTAAGCTTTGGTTCCCTTCTTGAACTTGGACATGGAGGGGTTGGGTAYCATTGGCCACACACCATTCTCATCGAATGGAATCTGTGGTCCTGWGAAGTCATATGTACCATTGCACTCCTGTTGTCGACAAAAAACATTAAAAAAAATTATGATTGAACAACAACAATTGAATGAAATCATCGATCAATCAAGACTGAAAAAAATATTCACGAAGATATTCCATCACCGATGTCCTAATTATATTCCATATGTAATTCCCACCAGAAAAAAAGAAAGAACAAAACAAAACAAAATGCTTCGTTCTGAGACCTGAGCCAAGTGTATTGTTTTTCTCTTACCAGGGCCGTAGCCAGAGTGAACGGATAAGCKAGGCAAGCGACCGCCGAAGGCGGTAGGAACTATAGGGGGTTCGGGGGCAATCCCCCGGAGAATATTTAAGATTCAGTCTCTCGGAAATGCGATTTGCAGCGTTTTGTGGTCCTTTTGGCAAACCTTTATTCAACAGATTTAATTGGAATTTATCATGCAATATTTAAGAAACAAAGAAGCTATACGTACAAGATTAATATTACTTTTRTATTTTTTGCACAAAATCAGTCGTACGAATCGGCTCTGAGAGGCTAAGATGATATCAGTGATGAAAACAAAAAGCATCGGCAAAATTTTAACCGAGGCAAGTGCCTCGGTTGGCCTCTTACTAGCTACGGCCCTGCTTACCCATCCAATTTAGTACGAACTATTATACAAATTATATTATACAAATAATTCGTAATGAAACAAACATAGATCTCAAKGCACGGTATCCTGAGCAATGCTGTGGATAGTATTTCATGCAAATGGTTAATGCGCCATAACGATACAATGTAATAATGGGTCATACCTTTGTATAATCAACTACTTCACTTCTTGCAGCATTGCTGSCTTGGTTTATACTTGTGTTATYATGCACCCGAATCTCTCTCTTTTGTGCGATTGAGTAAAACAGGAAATAATGAGAAAGATATTTAACAGTCTCATTGGTCCAGACCATTGGATTGCAAGGACTGCTTCCTTCGCCTTGTTCAACAATCAAATCAWTTGCTTTTTCAGCTGATTCAAAGTCAGTTACTTTTATAGTGCGATCATGTCCTGGCCACTGGTTAGCGGTAACCTGCCTGCTTACGTCGCCTGTGAAGATACTGTTGTTCCGTCCGCAGTTTGTGAGGTAACGYAAAGTGTTCCGTATGTGATTGTAGAAATTTSCGATTGTGTTGTGATGTCTTTCGTACACATAATCATAATGTTCCTTGCTAGGGAAAAACGCYCTGCCCTATAAATAAATCAAGAATACTCTGCCATTTGTAAATTGCCCTGATAAGTCAAGAWAAAATGAGAATGCATGTGAAGAGAACGAGTTGCGAAATTATCCTACTTTAACCAGCCAGTACAAATGTATAATAATGATAATATTCATTTTGATCACTACTCACATTTAAAGGTTTGTTCTTAACATTCTTTCTTCTTCGAGACAACTTACTTATTTCAGAGTCCTTCTTAAAGTCTATCGATAGGCAATCAAACAAGTCTTCATCAATCGATCTGTCAATAACACTTGACGTCGCAGCTCGGGAAGAAGCTGGAGCATGGGGTACATTTGGGGGTGCTCGTTGCCTTTGTGGTGGTGCTTGAGGATCTTGTGGTGATCCAGGTGGTCCAGGTTCTGGTATTGTTCCAGGTGGTCCAGGTTCTGGTATTGTTCCAGGTGATCCAGGTTCTGGTATTGTT